TCTACTATATGGAACAAGGGTGATAGTATTACTAGCTAGCAATTATAATTTTATGGGAAATGGGGGATACTATTTTACATAATAGTTATCTGTCATTTCTAGGTTTATTTACACACAAAGCGTTCATTAATACTACTCAATTTTCTTAATTGAGTAGACTTATTTACCCAGTGTTATGTGATAATTCAAATGTGAGATTTGTGTTTAGAGCCTGGCCTGTCTTCTCCATGGTTTTCATTTTCCCCTTTTAATTTGCTAGCTCCAAAGTATCCTTTCCCATCACAAATTTAGAGCCAACTTCCAAGTAGAATTTTATCCTAGTGTTATAGTGATTTAACAAGACTGTGTGAGAGTCCATAGAGTTTCACTACAGTGAAGTTTTTAAACTTCAGTTCAGGATTCAGTAGATAACAAGACAGAATAAACAGCATCGAGAGTCATCACCTATAAGGCCATGCTTTCTTTCTTAACAGTTGTGTTTGTCTCTTTATATGGATATACATTCCAGGCCATACAAAAACATTTTTTTTTTACCTTAGGTTCACAGTTAAAATAGTTTTAAAGAACACTGTGTGGTGGAGAAAGCTCAGACTTTGCCATCAGGAAGGCCCGAATATCAATGTTATAACAGCTGCTAACATTGCCTAAAAGAGGTCCTGCAACAGAAACCTAGCTTCTTGTCTTTTTCCCTTATTATATGTGAGACAAAAGGAAAAAAAATATTTTCTCAAATATTAACCCCTTGACAATGGCTGTTGAAACTTCCTTACCTGTTGGCCGGCGCCATGGCTCACTAGGCTAATCCTCTGCCTGTGGCACCGGCACCCCAGGTTCTAGTCCCAGTCGGGGCGCCGGATTCTGTCCTGGTTGCTCCTCTTCCAGTCCAGCTCTCTGCTCTGGCCCGGGAAGGCAGTGGAGGATGGCCCAAGTGTTTGGGCCCTGCACCCACATAGGAGACCTGGAGGAAGCACCTGGCTCCTGGCTTCGGATCAGCGCAGTGCGCCAGTCACAGCAGCCATTTGAGGGGTGAATCAACGGAAGGAAGACCTTTCTCTCTGTCTCTCTCTCTCACTGTCTGACTCTGCCTGTCAAAAAAAAAATTAAAAATAAAATTTAAAAAAAACTTCCTTACCTGCAACAAAACTATTATTTAAATAATGGTTTGAAATGAAAAGGAAAACATCTTTAGTGATTCAGCCATTATCTATCCATCTTAGACTCAACTCCATGAGGGCAAAAATCATATCTCTTTCCCTAGTATTCAGTTGAGAGTATTTAGATAGTATTTAGGACTTGATGAATATTTGGATAATACCAGTAATTTGAATGAATCAAAGATTATACAAATCACTGAATGACTACTCTCTGGGAGGCACTGCAGACAAAAATGAATAATGCATAAACTTTGATCTTTCAGAAAATTGGTATATACATATATATTATGTTTTTCAGACAGTATGCATTTAGTACTAATATTGACCATGTGCTTTGCTAGGTACTGTAGTAAATAAAATAACCATATTTGTTCCCTAAAGTTGAAGAAATATTACATGATAATCGTACAAATAACTATAGAATTAAAATTATTTTAACACTATGGAGGATAATAAGAGGGCCTGACATCACGTGGAAGAAAATGAAGGAAGACTTACAAAGAAATGTGAGGAAATGCCACTTAACTTGGGTTAAGAGCTTTTTTTTTTCTGCTGGGAAGCAGAGAAATTAGCACCATAGCTGATCAGCAGAAGTGAACTAACTTTCCAAGAAAATTCACTCATATAATGGCTTCAGCAAGCACCCTCCAGCTCCAGAGCACTCACTTTGAAGAAAATGAGTCTTCCCCGTCTGTATTCTGTCTCCTACCAACTACCTGAGGTTGGGTGGGTTACTTAAAAGGAAAGAAGAATGTGAAAGGAAGAATTGAAATAAAGAATGAAGAGGGGTCTTAGAAATGCAAGTTGGTTCAGTCTATTCAGAACTACAGAGGAGGGGACTCTTTGGGTTCACCTTGCAGATGAGAAAACTGGGGCTTAAGAAGGGTAGGGCCTTCCAATAACCACAGAAGGAGTTGGGGATCAAATGAATAAACTAAACGCCAGGTCTGTTTTCCAGACAGAAGTTCAGTCCCACTCTCCTCCCATTGTTTTTCTCAAATAGGTGGCATTCTTTAAACTTGAAGGCCAGACTACGATACAGAGTTGATTAGTAACCAAGGACACCTGTTACACTGCGCATTAGGTGGAGCCTGTGTTGCCATCTGCCTGTAAGACCCTTCCAGCCCTAGGGTTTTGAAGAGAACTGTGCAGTTTTACTGACTTCTCGATACAGAACTTCAGTCATGAAGGTGACAGTAATCTTTCTTCTTGGTGCCTTGGCCCTGTTGAGTTTGTCTGGTGAGTGTCTTTACATGTTTTTCAAATTTGAGTAAAATGTTTTGACCTGCTTTGTTGAGCATAATACCTTCTGGATTTGTAATAGAACCTACTGCTAGACATATCTTTGGTACTTTTGGAGTGGAATAAGACCAATAGATGAGAATTATTGAAAGTGTAATTTTTGACATAACATCAGGAAAAATATTCTCCCAGTGAGAACTTCCAGATACAGAATTATTTTCCTCTAATGATGAGGGCAGTCTTTTGTCAGGGACATGGTAAAGAAAGAAAGGTAGGCATATTTCAACCTTAAACACCGCTATAATTCTGAAATGTTTAAGATCAGTTTACAGGAGCCGGTGCCGTGGCGCAGTAGGTTAATCCTCCACTTGTGGCGCCAGCATCTCATATGGGTGCCGGTTCTAGTCCCAGCTGCTCCTCTTCTAATCCAGCTCTCTGCTGTGGCCTGGGAAAGCAGTGGATGATGGCCCAAGTTCTTGGGCCCCTGCACCCAGGTGGGAGACCCAGAAGAAGCACCTAGTTCCTGGCTTTGGATCGGTGTATCTCTGACCGTTGTGGCCAGTTGGGGAGTGAACCAATGGATGGAGGTCCTTTCTCTCTGTTTCTCCCTCTCGCTGTCTGTAACTCTACCTCCTAAATAAATAAAATCTTTAAAAAAAAAAAGATCAGTTTACAAATTTTTAATACTCGAGGAATTTCATAAAATGGAAAACAGTGGCTTCTGTTTAATATAAAAGGTATAGACTAATTAAAACATTGATTTTTATCTGGAAAATGTTTTATGGGAAAACATTCTGCTTGCACAGATGGTGTGTAAAAAACCCCAAACTATATCTTGACCATGTTGACAAACAGTTCTGAACCCATAAAATTGGGATCAGTCTCCTTTTTGTCATTTGAAATTATTAATATTTTCAACTTCACCTCCAATCTAGCAGAGACTCCTGAGAGCCAAATCCGCATTTTGCTAAGAGGAAAACTATTCTTTGTTCTATTTACTAAATGTTTGTGGGAACAGTGATCCATTTTCTCTTCTTAATCCATATCAATTAATACAAATTCCTATGGTGAGCACTTGCTCACCAAGTTTGGATTCAAGTAGAATCTGAAATCCAAAGGGACCCCAGGAACATAAGGTTCTAATGATTCTCAAGGCCTACAAGTGCCTCACGGCTTTTCACTGCACTTACCTAGGAAGAATTACATCCTTACTAGATACTTCACAGGATAATGATATCAAAATTACATCTCACCAACATTTCCTCCAGATGCTATCTTTGTAGGGGAATGCACAATGACTCTTTTGACTTTATCTCTGTGAATTCAGGATGTGTAAGGAGGGTCATATAGACAGTGTAATAGAACTATGGTTAAATAGCTCTTTGGGAACTGATGGTAACTAAGCAAAACAGTTTCATTTTTAAAAATTAATTTAATTTGAAAGAGGGGAGATGGGAAGGAGAAAGAGAGATCTTCAATCCACTGGTGCACTCTCCAAATGCCCACAACATTGAGGGCTGAGTCAGGTCCAAGAACCATTCCAGAAGCTTAGAATTCCATTGAAGTCTCCCATATGGGTGTCAAGGACCTAAGTTTATGAAACATCACCTGCTGCCACCCAGGATGCACATAAGTAAGAAAATGGATTGGAGCAGAATAACTGGGTCTTGAACCACGGAATATGATATGGGATGTGAGCATTCCAAGTAGCTACTTGACCACTGTGCCAAATGCCCACCCCAAGAGCCCCATTTTTAGACATGTAACTGCAGAATCATTTTCCAATCAAAGGACTTGGTATTACTAGTTATATCTCTTTACAACTAGTTACATAAACTCTCTATATTTTCATCCATTAATTGACATAAAGACACTTAAGATTCACTATAATATCAAAGACCCAGTAATTGTGATACTGTCAGTGAATATTCAGAAGGTAGCTAGCTCTTCAGGTCCTGATATATTTCTAACAGTAAGTATATGATTTCTGTTTCCTAGGAAATAGATTGACTTTTCTGAAATACCAAACTGAGATACTCTGGCTGTACTCAAATTATCACTTAATTTTTTTTGAGATTTCAGCAGGCAGGGAGTGAATGGAACCTCTCTGTTGTCTTAAAATAAGACAGAAATAGTAATGGTGGGGAGTGGAAGAAGCCAACAAAGAAGTCATCATCTTCATGAAAGCAGAGAATTCTGAAGAAGAACACATCTGGCTTCTTCCAATTAGAAACCAACATAACGTATCTGATTTATGTTTTCTAGGTAACACCAGAGCTGATTCCCTGGGAAGAATGGTAAACAGAATTTTGTAATTTCTTATTTCTTCGAACTGTTGGATCCAACAAAATGATATCTAATTTTTGCTTTTCAATTTAGGCTGAAGTCAAGATAAGGAGTATGAATGCTAAAGAGGGTTAACCTGTTAGATACAAATAGTAATCGAAGGTCTCGCCCTTGGGCTTAGAATGAAGGACGGATTCCCTGACACAGGGGAGTTCTGTGGAGTTACACAATGCTTGCTGTGAAGGGCTTTTTGTATAAACTAGTTCTAGCTGACAGGATGAGCCTTTTAGGTAGAAGCCTCCTCAAGTTTACTCCAAGTAGCCTTTGTTACTTTCTGCCAGTGTGACTATGTGGACAAAAATTCATGAATGAGTAAATCATTACATTTTTCAAATATGTTATGAAGAAATTCTGGTGTCATTAGGAAACTAGGGAATGTTTCCTTAATCATAAGAGTTACTTTGAAGTTACTACGAAGGGTAACTGCAAACGTAACTGATGGGTAGATGTATAAGAGTGAAGTGTCTAGGAGCCCAAAAGCTCAGAAACTGGAATGACTGAATTCTGGGTCTGAATTCTCAATCCAGAAATTTATAGATTTTGTGATTTTAATGCTTTGTTATTTGTACAAGAGTGTAATAATAATTAATTCACAGGGTAGTTATGTGGTATGTCAGTGAACAACTGAAAATTTTGAGTAAGGGGTGAGTTTTTCAAATGTTGGTCATTCAAGTTTTTAAGTAGATAATGAACAAAATTACTTAGGTCAGTGTCTGGCCTGTAGCAGTCATTTGATGATCATTAACTCTTACTGAGGTAGAGGAAACAGAGTACAAAGATTCCAAGAATGGAAAAAGCTCGGTGCCTCTGAGTACCTAAGAGGAGACTTGTATAAGTGGGCAATAGTGTGCAAGGAAGAACATGCCCCAAGGTGCAGTTGACCTACAGGAAGCCTATACCTGTAGTAATCATAAACTTGAACATTGTCCACTCAAATTTGATAAACCTAACAATAGCTATATGAATAAGTGAGAAGATATTGCCACTCCTAATTTACAGATAAAATGACTAAGTTTCAGGGAGGAGGCAAAAATACTTTGCAATGTCACAGAGAGCTTTTAAGTAGAAGTGTTTCTTAAAACCAGGTTTTCTGACTCTAGATCTTGCATCTTTCTCTTGGGACACTCAGTGAAATTAAGGCCATTTTAGAAATTTTGGTGGAAACTCAAAGCATGGAGAATGATGCAAAATAATTCTATTTAACTCCATTTTTAGGCTAATTGTAACAATGAAGTTACTGGATGCCCTAGAAATTATGATCCTGTCTGTGGGACTGATGGAAACACGTATTCCAATGAATGCATACTATGTACTGAAAATCAGTGAGTACAAATTTGAATTTCTTTTAAAATATATATTTTAAGTAACTTGTCTTCAAACTTTTAAATACCTTATCACTATTATAGCCCCAATCAAACTACAGAGGTAGAAGTCTTACCATGAATGAGTTAAAACATTTGCTCTTTTCCAGAAATAATTTTCTCCTTTGTATATAGCTGATATGAAAATATGATTTAGGCAGTGGTGTTGTGGTGCAGCGGTTAAGCCACTACCTGCAATGCTGCCATCCCATATGGGCACTGGTTCAAATCCTGGCTGCTCCACTTCAGTCTAGCTCCCTGCTAATGCACCTGGAAAACAAGTGGAAGATGGTCCAAGCACTTGGGCCCCTGGCACCCATGTGGGAGACCTGGATGGAGTTCCAAGCTCCTGGCTTCAGCCTGGCCCAGCCCTGGCCATTGCAGCCATTTGAGATAAAAACTAGTGGATCTCTTTGTATTTCCTTCTCTCTGTAAATCTGCCTTTTAAATAAATAAATATTTAAGAATATGATTTAAAATAACTTGTATTTTTTTCAGATTTATTTATTTTATTTGAAAGGCAGAGGCAGAGAGAGAGAGGTCTTCTATCTGCTGGTTCACTCCCCAGTTGGCCACAAAGCCAGGAGCCTCTTCCAGGTCTTCCACATGAGGACTTGGGCCATCTTCTACTGCTTTCCCAGACCATAGCAGAGAGCTGGATCAGAAGAGGAGCAGCTGGGACTAGAACCGGTGCAAATATGTGATGCCAGCACTGTAGGCGGCAGCTTCACCCACCACACCACAGAGCCAGTTGTATGATTATAATTCATGTTTTTATAGCAAAGCAGTAGATGGTCTAGAGTTTTACATATATGAAGCATTATGCAAGTCTCCTCTGCTTTTGTTGTGTGCACGACTAGGAGAAAATAGGCCGCAAACATACATTAGATAACTTCTACAAATATCCGCAAATGAAATATAAATAAAGTATTACAGGAGTGAAGCAGAGATACAGATTTCTTTTTATTGAAAAATATCAAGGTTATGCTGTGGCGCAGTGGTTGAAGTCCCAGCCTGTAGCACCAGCATCCCATGTGGGCACCATTTTGAGTCCCGGCTGCTTCTCTTCCAGTCTAACTCTTTGTTATGGCCTGGGAAAGCAGTAGAAGATGGCCCAAGTCTTTGGGCCCCTGCACCCGCATGGGAGACCTGGAGGAAGCTCGAAGCTCCTGGCTCCTGGCTTCAGATCAGCTCAGCTCTGGCCGTTGCGGTCATCTGGGGAGTGAACCAGTGGAATGGAAGACCTCTCTGGCTCTACCTCTCCCCATAACTCTTTCAAATAAATAAAATAATCTTTTTTTTTTTTTATAAAAAATCAAGACAGGTTTCATGAAAAGAATGCCTTTTATATAGGATTTTACATTTTGGTAACATTGAAAGAGCATTCCAGGTAAAATAAAGGTGTGAGAAAAATCAAAACAATGCACAAATGACCCAGAAAGCAGTTATTCTGGGATTCACTAGATATTAAAGACTTTGACTTAGGCTCAACTGCCTGCAAAGTTCTCAGTATTCCACTGCATAAATTCTCTTCCCTATTATACATACCTCTTCTTGGATTATTTTAAACCATTTCAGACAATTCAAAGGGTTCAGCAAAGGTTATAAAAATAAATACAATCCCCAGAGTGAGAGGTCTAATATCCTAAAATTTTAGATTTAAACATTAGGTGTGCTGCTTTGTTGTGAGTAACTTTCCACAATGAGGACTTATAAAAGGAATTTGAAACCAAATGTTAATTTTCTCATGACTTATGTTGTTGACGTTAAGGTCAAACATCAGTTTCTCATCCAAGTGGAGAAAAAAGCAACAGAACAGTCTTGAAACTTGGTATGCCTGCAAGTATCAAGGCCGAAGTTCCAATATTGAAGAGAAATATTACAGCTGGGATACCCAATTTCTTTAGCATTTAAAATCTTTTCGTGCAGGGTGATGGACATTTGGCATGACAGTTAAGACCTCACTGGAGGTACTCAAATCCCAGATTGGACTGGCTGGGATGAAGTCCCAGCTCTGTTCTCAAATCCAGCTTTCTGATAAGGTGCACCTGGGAGGCAGCAGGTAATGGCTCCAGTAGTTAAGTTCCTGCCATGTACAAGGAAGTTCCAAAATGAATTGCTGGCTCCTGGCTTCCAGGCTGTTTTGAGCATTTGCAGAGTGAAGCAGCAGGTCGATCTCACTGTGTTTTTTCAGGTCTCTTTCTGTCTCTGAACATCTGCATTTAAACACACACACACACACACACCACCATCACCACCACTACCATCACAACCATAACCAATTACTGCTTGCTTTTTCTAGTCTTTGAAAGATATATGCAATGCTTAAACGATATAAAATGTAATCTTTCTTTTTTAAAAAATTTTTTGACGGGCAGAGTGGACAGTGAGAGAGAGAAACAGAGAGAAAGGTCTTCCTTTGCCGTTGGTTCACCCTCCAATGGCCACTGCGGCCAGCGCGCCGCGCTGATCTGACGGCAGGAGCCAGGTACTTCTCCTGGTCTCTCATGGGGTGCAGGGCCCAAGCACTTGGGCCATCCTCCACTGCACTCCCTGGCTACAGCAGAGAGCTGGCCTGGAAGAGGGGCAACCAGGACAGAATCCGGCGCCCGGACTGGGACTAGAACCCGGTGTGCCGGCGCCACTAGACGGAAGATTAGCCTAGTGAGCCACGGCGCCGGCTCAAATGTAATTTTTCTTCCTAACATATTTCCTAATGCACTCTATTGTCTTTCGTACTTTTGCCCATTAAAAGCCCCCAGACGAATGCATTGCCCAGTAACTAGAGGTTGGCTCTGGCTCTGGTTGTCAGGATTTGAGATGAGTAGGTAATAGCAAACGTGAGCATGCATATAGTATTATCCTTGGTCATTATGTACTTAGAAGATATATTCAATAAGGACTTTTCTATTTCTTCAGCATTCTTAGGGAATTTGTAATGAACAATTCTTTTCTTTACATTAGTGTTATCTAATAGATCTTTCTACAATGGTGGAAATGCTCTGTTTTTGTGCTGTCCACTACAGAGCCACTAGAACTTAAATGTGCTAGTATAATGGAGAAACAAATACTTTAATTTAGATTTAAATAACTGTATGTAGATAACATATTGAACAGCGTAACTATATAAAACATGTCAATTCTTTTGTGCTCTGTTCATAAGTTTGTGCTTGCATATACTAATTTGGAAGTCAGTATTATAAGGAATAAGTAATTATGAAACAAGAAACCATTACCAACTCTCAAAGTCCAACAATGTCCAGATAATTGCATGTACAAAAATAAGTGGGGTCAACCTTGAGGCAGAGTGGGTTAAGCCTCTATTTGCTGCAGTAACATCTCATATTGGGGTGCTGGTTTGAATCCCAGATATTCTGCTTCTAATCCAATTGCTTCTTTTTTTTTAAAGATTTATTTATTTTACTTGAAAGTCAAGTTGCACAGAGGGGAGAGGCAGAGAGAGAGAGAGAGAGAGAGAGAGAGAGGAGGTCTTCCATCCGATGGTTCACTCCCCAGTTGGCCGCAACGGCCAAAGCTGCACCGATCTGAAGCCAGGAGCCAGGAGCTTCCTCCAGGTCTCCCATGTGGGTGCAAGGGACCAAGGACTTGGGCCATCTTCTACTACTTTCCCAGGCCACAGCAGAGAGCTGGACAGGAAGTAGAGCAACCCATATGGGATGCCAGCACTTCAGGCTGGGTTGTTAACCTGCTGTGCCACAGTGCTGGCCCCCCAACTTGCTTCTAATACATCTGAGAAGGCAGCAGAAAATGTTCCAAGTACTTATGCCCTATTACCCTGTGGGAGCCAGGGTGAGTTTCTGGCTCCTGGCTTCGGCCTGGCCCAGACCTGGCTGTTGTGACCATTTGGAGAGTGAACCAGCAGAGGGGGGAATCGCAATCTCAGTCTCAATCTCTTTCTCTTCTGTATCTGTCCTTCTCTCTCTGTTGCCTTTCAAATAAATACTTGTTTTTAAAATATGGGAGTCATATAAATGACCTCAGGTAACAGGGAAATGGAAGAATTTTTCAGGCTGGTATAGTCAAAGCAAAGGATGCTGGGAAAATGAGAGATCTGGAAATAGCCTAATGAGGAACAATTAGAGGAGTTAGAGCTACTTGCCTAAAGAAGAAGAAAATAAACTTTTGGGAAACGTGGTGTGGTTGGGGAAAAGAGAAGTTTTGATCTGAAGGGGAGAGTGCTTAGAACTGGCACTTACAAGACCTCAAAGATACAAATCCCAAGTTCTAAGGTGAAAAATCAATCCATTAGAAGGTTGGCTCTATCATAGCCCAGACACCAGCTAAGATGGAAACCTGTCAGTTTGCACAGGGGCATCAGGAGTAAAAGAAGCAACAAAGTATCAGAGAGAAACTTGAGAGGGTCTCTGCAATGCCCCACTACATCTATAGGCTCTGCATGGACAGACGTTCTTCCTTTCCAGAGTGTCTCTAGTGTATGTTACAGCAATCAATAACTTAGGAATTCAAGAATTAGTGAACGAATAGATGAATGGCAGAAAAGTAAATCTCAACCCACTGTATTTCAAATAAAGTTGACTTTTTTCCTCATTGATTTTGTCCCATAGTCCCTTGTTTGTCACTAAAGTTTGAGCGGATTTTGTTTTCAATTTCTTTTCCAGGAAGCGCCAGATACCTGTCCTCATTAGAAAATCTGGGCCTTGCTGAACGAAAGTTCTGAAATCCCCAAAGGTCACCAGAGTGCCTGGGTGGCCTGATTATTGAATAAATGCATGCATCTGAATACCCCTGCTGTGACAACATGCGTTTTCCTTAAAGGTGTGTTTTATTATGTTGGGAACGGAGAGGTGTGTTTGATTATATCTGGGACAGAGACTTGGGCAAGACTCAGAATAGACTAAGTTTTACAAAATGCAGCAAACCTCTAATTTCTCATAATGTTCCCCTTTTTATGCCTTTTCCTTCCCCATCTTCCTCACATTCTGACACCTTTGTCCGAGGCAATATGACTGTGGGTATTAAATGACTGATAAGACACAGTTAATTGTAAATCATTTTTTAATAATTAATAATTTGTAATTCCAGTAATCCTACTGGAAATTAGACTACCATTTTTTTAAAAAAATGTTTATTTATTGGAAAGAGTTACTCAGACATAGGGAGATAAAGAAAGAGATATATAGAGAGAGGTCTTTCATCCACTGGTACACTCCCCAAATGGCCGCCACAGCTGGGAAAGGGCCAGACCACATGAACGCAGAGGCCCAAGCACTAGGGCCATCTTCTATTGCTTTCCCAGGCACATAAGCAGGGAGCAGGATCAGAAGTGGAGCAGCCATGTCTCAAATGGGTGCCCATAGACTACCTTTTTTTTTTTTTTTTCTTTGGCAGGCAGAGTTAGACAGTGAGAGAGAGAGAGACAGAGAGAAAAGTTTTCCTTTTCCGTTGTTTCACCCCCGAAATGGCCACTACGGCGGGTGCGCAGCGGCTGGCACACTGCGCCGATCCAAAGCCAGGAGCCAGGTGCTTCTCCTGGTCTCCCATGCAGGTGCAGGGCCCAAGCACTTGGGCCATCCTCCACTGCCTTCCTGGGCCACAGCAGAGAGATGGACTGGATGAGGAGCAACCAGGACAGAATCCGGCACCCCAACTGGGACTAGAACCCCGGGTGCCGGCACCACAGGCGGAGGATTAGCCAAGTAAGCCGCGGCGCCAGCCTAGACTACCATTTTAAACGATAGTTAGAAATTTCTCAGCCCTAGAACATGGTCCCATCATATTTCATGAATTGAGATAATTCCTGTAGGGTAGCTTGGGATTTAATTGAACATCTATTGTGACTAGCATAAGACTACATACAAGGATGTAAATCTATCTTTCTGGTAGAAGAATTTAGTCCTTGAGATTTTTCCATAAATAGCAGAATGTAGATTTTAGGTCAGACATAATCAAAGAGGTTTAAGTCACTGAGGAAATTTTAAGTAGCTACATTTTCTCAACAATGCTATGGAGCAGTTTGGATTTGCCCTTTCCCATTTTGTTACTAAGGTGGGTAGTGATGCTGTGGGAATCCAGTTATTCCCTGGTAGCCTGAGGTTTGGACAGAGGATTTCCTTTAAGTCTTGCCTTAGAGATCTGCCTTCTAGGGCCTGATGGATTTGTGCTGAGCTAACTAGAGGAAGAGAAAAAGCCTGACTGTGATTTAACTTCAGGAGTGGTATCTTTTATCAAACCATGCCCAAGGGGTGAGCTGGCGAGGAAAAGGGGGCTGTGGACCAGAGGAAGTGATCACGAGGACTTTATGCAATTCACTTTGCTTTATAAACTAGCCACATGACCCAGTAATGTTATCGTCATCGTGTTGGTAAATTTAGAATAGTTAAGGCTCCTAATTTCGTCAGCAAACAAGTGGCAGAGTTTAGCTTTTAATCCAGGGCTAACTCCAAGTCCTGTGTTTTTTCCCTCTAAACCACATTGCCTCATTTGGGTTACTTCTCACCTATTCTAAAGGTAACATCCTCTTACTAAAAGGGTCAGTGTGTTTACATTCAGGACAGTAAATAAGATAGAAAGAAGGGAGTCTCCTAAAAGAAAAAGGTCTCTGTAGCTACTAGAAATAGAGAAGAAAAACATCTTGAACTTCTGAGCTCACAAGGAGCTAGCCTAAAGTGGAGGTAAATGAAGAGCAAACAAAGCCCAAGATGTATCAACTTGCTTGATTACAGGGAGAAGCAGATCATCCACTGAGCCAAAAAATAGCCAGTGAAAAGCTGTTCTCAACTGTAAAAACACAGTTGCCTGACACTGTAAGGTTTAGGTTAATTGTAATATTCAGAATATTTATCCAGGTGGCTCGAGGTTAAATATGGCCACTAGAGGATGCTGTCATCTGCCAAGTGACTCAGACTAGAGTCTCCAGCTTTCACCAAATACGGTGCTAACAGAAGTTAGAGATGCAATATGGCACTCAGCATCTTTTCTGGGATGCTAGAGGACGCTTGAATGGCAATCCTGATCTTAAGGAAAATTGCTGCGGTAGACAGAATTTAAGTAATTGAATGCTACAAGTTTTCATGTCTAACCAAATCATTCTGTAAGTCTGGAGAGAATTTTACAAATGATAAGTGGAAGCAAGACATAAACCCAGATTGCCTGCTACTGATGGTCCTGCTCTCTTTCTGACCCAGCAGAAAGTTTGTGGATTACCATGCCCATGTTTGGTGGTTATGTTTTAAAAAGAGATGATTTTCAAACTGGAATGTGCTGAGAGGAGGGAAACCATCAAAATTGATAAGCATTTGAAAATTTGTCCTATGATGAGTGGTTGAAAGGAGTAGGAGATTTGGCTGAAAAGAAAACCCTCAGAACTTGATGAGTGTTTTCAAATAACTGAAGGAACAAGCATGTTAGCACTATAAGAACAGAATTTCTCCTTTTTGTACTACTGCATTATAGGCTCAAACACAGTGCCTAACACCTAGAAAGTATTCAATTGATATTCTTTTTATTACATAAATGAACAAGGACATGAAATGTACATGTTCTGGTTGGCTCCAAAGAGTAGAATTGTAGATTAACTGTAGGATTAAAGAGAGCCTGATAATGGCTCAGGAGGGAAATGAACACTATAAGGAATGAGATCAGGGGCTCTGATTTAAGAGTGCCTGGGCTTGAACCTGGCTCTGCCATTATCTATGCCATTAGCCCTGGCAGAAGTCAGTGTTAGGTGGATAGTTAGGCATGAGTAACTGGGGAGGGACCACAGAACCTTCATCCAGAAGAGGGACCAGGGATCCTACTGTCTGCTGGGACCCACCCAAGACAGACCACTTTGCAGTTTAACCTTTACTAAATGTGTTTTGATAAAATCATACTCAGTCAATCCAGAAAAGTCTAGTATATGTGCACATGTGCAGTGAGATCTAGTTTGACATTGAAACAACTAATTTTATTATATGATCCTTATAATTAGCATTGTGGTATTGCCCTCCTACCCCCACCCCTCCAGTGGGCATTCCCAATGCATGCTGGGAAGCCACATGTGCAGAGAATTCCAGGTAAGCAATTCCTGGATGTCAAAACTGTCATTCATGAGCATCATGTCCACATTGCCAATCAGCCCCCTCACACTTTAGGAATAAACCCCTGGACCAAGGAAGAAGAGGGCCACATGCTCTTTCCACTGGCCTGTTCCTCCCTAGGAACATACTAAGTAAACTGTTGCTTTACTATCCTTACTTTTGTCTCTCTCTACTATAATTCATTACTCAGTCTGCTAAAAGGAACCATGGCAGTCCAGCCACTGGGAATGAGAATTTGTCAATTTCCTCACTTCTACTGTGAGGTTAATAATCACAATTTTCTCATAGAGCAGTTAACACAATGTTTGATACATAGTGCGTGCTCAAGATATATTAGTTATTAATATTGTTATTTATGATTATAAGTCTTTGAGCTCACTAAAAAAGCAGTTGATTGTCTTCTGTTGTGAACATTTCAATATTAACTTTACTTTTGGCAACAGTTCATCACATTGTTAAATTGTCTAGGATTCTGTGAAAGAGATTCCTTAACTGGGTACAAGATTGGACTGAAATCTCTCTGATTTTAACTGTACAAAGTCCAGAATTATAAACCATGCTTCCAAAATAGAAATTCCAGAGTAGTGGCTAAGAACAACTTTTGTGGATTGAGAAAGTTTTGTGGCCCTAGGAAGGCCTATATTCCACTATCAGAGCCCCAACCAAGATTCATTAAACGTAGGCTCATGGAACTACAGATAAACTCCAAGAGGACATAGGGCCAATGTGTTTCTACACAGTTTTATTTATAGGCTTCAAAGTGTTTGAGATAGAAGCTATCTGAAGGGAAAATGAGATTTTTCTAAAAAAGAAATTTATCCCTTTGGAGAAGTAAACTTTTTAGAAATGACATATTTTCCTTAAATTATACTGAGGCTCCTGAGAAATTAGAGCATAAAAAATAGTGAGCATTTGTTTCCATTTGTCTGACCCGATTTATCCCACCAAAACCTTAGCTTATCCCAACTATGTGGAAAAAAGATTTATTTACATAATAAAGGAAATAATTCCCCAAGTGGTGGAGTTGGAAGCATACCAGGGGATTCCAATTCAATCCCATCGAGGTGGCGTGTACCAATGCCATCTCACTGTTCCAGGTGATCAGTTTCAGTTCACAGTTGGTCATGGTGGAGGGACTGGGAGTCAAAGGGAGCACATAGACAAGTCTAGTACCTGCTAACGCTTACCGATGGAGTAAATAAAGGGGAGAGTGATCCAACATGGGAAGTGAGATACTCAGCAGACTCATAGAATGGCAGATGTCCTAAATAGCACTCTGGCCTCAGAATCAGCCCTAAAGGCATTCAGAGCTGGCTGAAAAGCTCATGAGAGTATTTCAGGCATGGAAAGCCAAGACACTCTGGCAAAAGATCTCTGCAAGTGAGATCCCAGTGGAAAGAACAGGTCTTCAAAGAAGGAGGTACCTTTCTTTGAAGGGAGGAGAGAACCTCCACTTTGACTATGACCTTGTCTAAACAAGATAAGAGTCGGAGAACTCAGAGGGCTTCCATAGCCTTGGAAACTCATGACTGGAGCATAGGGAGATTACTGATGCCATAGACAGGAGTGTCAATTGGTAAAGTCAACAACAGGAGTCACTGTGCACTTACTCCTCATGTAGGATCTCTGTCCTTAATGTGCTGTACATTGAGATTTAATGCTATAACGAGTACTCAAACAATATATTTCACTTTGTGTTTCTAT